TTCAGACGGCAGACGTCCCAGGCTCCATCGTCACCCGGTTGACCTCACCGTCCGACTCACGTGCTCACTTGATGATATCAACCTTCAATCGGGATAGATGGGCATTTGTAGACATGCGTAAGTCGGGCTTGGTACAGGCAGAATGACATAGCCGCACCGAATCAAGGTAACTGGGCGAAAAGCAGTCGCTTCGGCAGTTCGCAGGGATAATCGCTTTGATGCCTGTGATTGGATGGGACAAGGGAGAATGTGGAGCCGTCACCAGGGCAGGAGGGAAGAGCAGGCTACACATCAGTCCACCCTTGAGGAGACAGCCCTCTCGGCGACAAAGCTGAGGCCTATTCATCTCATTGCGAGAAGACTCATCTGTACTTCATTAACTCCCTTTAGGTGAAATAAACTAAATAAAGTAAGAAATTGGAACAATAACTTCCCACAACGAGATGGGCAGACCTTAGGATACCAGCGAATTTCACAACACCTTACCCCCCAAAAGATATTCGTATCCAATTGCGACCTCGCCCATGCCGGGTCTTGACCTGGGCTAATCATGTTCTTATTCCAAAAGTTATGCTAGTCTCAAAACCATTCATATCGAAATTTAGCAGTGCCGTCGAGTGCAATGGGAAACACAGGCTTGCATAATCGACAATCCCAATTAGTTATACGGGAAAATAATTGGTACTGCACAGCCTGGGGCAAATGGATGAAGAAAAATTTCCGGGGAATTAGAACTACTACTCACTTTGGCGCCTACCAGTAGCTGGGCACTGGGAGGAGGTAGAACCGTCACAAGAAATAAACGGTGAGTCTGGGTAAGTCTGCTATTCGCGGAGCTTCCGAATCCCACATAAAACTGTACAAACGTGCGCAAACAAGTGAGTGACCATTGGTTATTGCCTCCGTCTGGGGTGGGAATCAGAAAGCTCCACCGGCATATGACACCTGACGTCCTGGCCGACGACCACGAGCGACACTGGCTATCGTGACAAGTACAAATTTGCAGTCTCACGGGTCTCCCCATCCCCCACCCCCCACACACATTCATACACTCAAAATTATTCCCATCCCTTTCCTCGCATCTCGCATTCTGCCTCTCAAGGCGTTCGGGACAAAGGACTCGAAGCCTGACCTTCCTTGACAAATATGGCCGGATTCTGGTGGCATGCGAAGATGCGCGAGAAGTATCCAAGCTGTGGATCAGGGCCGCTCGAAAATATGTGTTCTTAGCAACATTTTTGACTAGTATAACGCTTAACTATCAGAAGAAACTCGGGAGTATCCGAACTTTATTGAAGAAAAGCTTGAGTCCGCCGAAGTCGATTATGGTTCTTAAGGAGCCACAAGTTAAATTTGTTTATAAATAAGTCGTATTAGAGTAGGGTTTCGAGACTACCAGTAAATCAGTGTAATGAGATGTATTCACCCTATTTCG